ATGCACCTATTCGAGTCTCTGGATTGCCGATTGCCCAGGGAAAGACGAAGCGGCCACATCATGATCAGAGCCCTGGGCATTACGTCGTGGAGTGCTTCAACGGCAACGGCGGCAAGCAGACGGTGAAAGAGAATATTCAGAAGTCCTCCGCCCGCATCCTCCTGCTGCAGGAAATACGGTTTTGCGAAGGCGACCTGGAATCTATGTTCTCATGGACGCATGCTCGGGGATGGAAGATGGCAGTTCCCAGTCGTCCCAGTCGAGCAAGCACAGTTCGCAACTCCTGCTCTGCTGGAGTTGCCGTTTTGGTTCGCAATGATCTTGGGCTCAGGGCGCCAGATCACCATGACCACGTGGTCTTCCCTCATCGCTGTCAGCACGTGATGATTGATATGCCAGGCTGGCCGCCTTTGCATGTGATTAATGCATACCTCAAGGATGGCATCGGCGTGGCGGGGGTAGACAGTGAGATTCTTTCTCGTATGGGACTTCTATTCGCTCAGATCCAGGCTCCTTTCATTGCCGGTGCTGACTGGAACATGCATGCGACTGAACTCGAGAGCTCAGGTTTCCCAAGGTTGGCCAACATCACCATGGCAGCAGTACCGAAGCAGGTCACATGCCGTGGTGGAACAGGAGCGTCGACCATCGACTACTTCGCGATGAACGATGCTGCGCTGCGAGGTTTTCAGGGAGTGGAGGCCGACATGCGTTGGAGCAAGCGGCCTCACCGTCCAGCGTTGCTCAAATTACCCGGCCGCGGGCAGAAGATTCGGGAATTCATATACGCGGCCGCGCCTGCTCTTCCTGTTGAACGCATCACAGGGCCGCTTCGTGAGGGCCCGGCATGGTCCACGCACTGCATATTGGCGAATGCGTGCTTGGACATGGCTCTTGATGAGAACAGCGATGCTGCGGTGGTTTGGGCGCTTCTATCAAGACTGTGGGGGCAGTTCGCGGTCGCTGCTGCGATGGAAGTTGCCCATGCGACAGGGTGCGATGTAGCGCGGGCAGGTTGTTTTGGACGCAACTTACATCCGAGATGGGTAGATGTCAGCTACCAGGAGAAGCCTGATTTGATGGCCCAAGCGGTGGCTGATGGGTGGCAGTGGTTATCAACAAGTCTAACTACGATAACTCAGCTCTTCAGAGGAACACAGCACATGGAGCAATGTTCTGAAGATATCGATAATTTCTTTGCCATTCCTTACAGTGGCCAAGGGCTGAGTGGAAGATTTGACGCATCTGTTTCGCAGGCTCGAACGATGGTTGCATGCGTACCGATGAATGTAGACGACATCATCCAGTTCGTCGAAGAGATCGCAGATGACGTCGATTTCGCCAGCAAAGCTAAGATGCGAGATATTATGGAGGCATGGGAATGTTGGTGTATCGAAGCTTCGGCCAAGGGCGCCAGGGCCCTACATCGGGTGACGAAGGTGCGCACGATACCTGTTCCAGCCGTATCACAAGGTGAAGTTGTATCGGGCGACCCACGAGACATCGTTCAAGGTGAAGTTGATGCATGCCGCAGACTCTGGAAGGCGACCGACACGGCACCTTTCGCATGGATACCAGATCGTACCACATGCCCGAGGCTGTCGCCAGACCAGATCCGACAAGTTGTGATGACATTCCCCAAAGGTACGGCCTCTTCCTTCGATCGTTTCCACCCGCGACATGCCCTGCTCTTGGGAGACGCTGGGTTGGAGGTTCTCAGTAGCATCTGGATGATATCGGAGGCCACCGGAATGCTGCCCAAGCAACTATGCTGGATTCAGATGCCCATGTTAGGCAAGCCCGCTGGAGGCAATCGTTTGATCATCTTGTATGCTGGTATGCACAGGGTCTGGCAGCGAGCCAGGCGCAGCATGGTCTCTGGAGTGATAGACAGTTTGGACCGAAAGTTCTGGGGGGCGTCCAGGGGCAGATCAGCAATCGACTGCGCATGGCTGCAAGCAGCACGGGCTGAAGCCAACCAGGCAGACTCCCTTCACTCAGCATTATAGGTCATTGATTGGTCCAAGTATTACGAGTCGATTCCTTTGCCGTTGTTGCGTGTGACATGTATTCGTGTGGGGATCCCGACATGTTGGCTCAAGCTGGTGTTCAACGCCTGGAGGGCGCCGCGAATCATACGCTGCGGCCGCCATCACGCGCAGGTTCCACTGTATGCTGGGCACGGTCTTCCAGCGGGAGATGGGTTTGCGGATTTTGCGATAAAGATACACTCAGTGATGGAAATGAATGCCTTTCACCATCGCTGTCCCGCCGTCACCATGCTGAACTACATCGATGACACGGCCATCGGAAATGCCTCGTCATCGTTCGACATTGCGAAAGGGGTTGCAGTGCAGTCGTTCACGGAGTTTCGCGAGATGTCCAAGTCCATCAATGCCACGCTCAACGTAGACAAGGTAGCGCTCATAGCCTCGTCGAAAGATCTCGGCAGGGCCATCTGCCAGGAGGTAGGGGTCGGCTTGGGCGTGATCAAGGACAGCGTCGCGTACCTGGGGGTGGACGGGGCGGCAGGTCTAAAGAGATCCGCTCGTGGAGCAAGGCCAAAACAAAAGAGTATATTTGTAGCTGCACGCCTGAGGCTTAGGAAAGTCAAGCGTTTTAGACGAGGTTTCCGAGGAGGTGAAAAGGAGGCCCCGTTCGCCAAAGTCTTTGGAGCTGGGGTTTCACCAGCCAGCAGTTTTGGAGCCGAGGTTACAGGTTTGAGCCTCAGCGAATGGAAGTCCCACCAGAGACTGCAGAGCTGCGCTTTTTCGCCTGCCCACGGAGGGGTGTCTCTGTCGGCGAAGCTAGTCCTGTTAGGGGACCACAGCTTCAAAATCGCAGTTGCCCCAGCCTTGCAGTGGTGTAGAATGATCTGGTTTGCGGCGACACAGCCCCTGAGAGCACTAGCCAGTCGTGGAGAGCTGTTGCGTCTTTGGGATGCGGCGAGGCCTCTGGAGGCTGGTCCGTGGCGCGCCTTGAGGGGGCCTTTGGCTCGCGCGGCGCTAGTGCTCTCAAGGGCGGGTTGGGGGGCCAGGGGCCCGCTTGAGCGGTGCGATCACAATTGACTGCAGGTCCTAGTGGATCAGACCCCGCCCGCCCTCCTAGCCGAGCAGCTTGCGATGGGAATTCAGCGAGGCCATGAAATGGAATTAGCCAGTAGGTTAGGTCATCCCCCAGGGCAAAGGGCCACCCTGGATCTGATTAGATCTCGTGCGGGGCCGAAGGCTCGGGGGTTAAGCAAGAAAGTCGAGTTTTTGATTCGGAGCTGTGCATGCAATGGGGTGTGGACCAACGAGAGAGGGTGTCGTGCGGGTTACGCCACCGACGATCGTTGTTCTTGCGGCCAGGTCGACACACTCCATCACAGACTCTATGAGTGCACCCGTGAGGACGTGGCCCGAGCTAGAGAAGAGGCTGAAGTCCCAAGGGAGTTCATGGAAGCGGCTCGTGCAGAGCCCGACCTGGAGATTTTCACCAGGGGCATTTTGTTTATCCAGACAGCGAGCTGCCAAAACCTTTTGTTTCGTCGGAGGTCGAGATTTTTGACGTTTCTGGAAGCCCGCTGTCTTTGGATCCTGAAAGGATCTGAATTGTCGGGGGAGGAGACTTTAAGACTTGCCTCGGACGGCTCATGCTCGAAGCCTCCCATCCGCGCGCTCCAGCGAGCGTCGCGGGCCATTGCAGTGCTGCCTGCAAGCGGGGATCAGCCCGAGCCCGTTGCTGCAATGCGTGGCGTGGTCCACGGTAGCTTCCCCCATGCGCCAGCGATGGCGGAGCACGTTGCCATCGCGCTGTGCGTCAGGTGGCGAACAGGCGAGCTATCCTTGCTGCCGACTGCACGTCAGCCATACTGATTGCGCAGAGCAGTGTCGAAAAGCAGTTGCAAGCATCTTCGAAGTTTGCTGGCATCAGGCTGTTTGCTCAGTCACTGGAAGGTACGAGTTTCATCGAACGAATTCGCCATGTTAGAGCACACCGATCCAGTCAGGAGATCGGAGCTCTGGAAATGACGGAGCGTGAATATGCAGTTGCTAATGCCGTTGTGGATCACCATGCGAAGATGGCGTTGTCAGTTCATCTTTCTGCTGATCCTCTTTTCCTTCAGGCTGTGTCGCTCGCTGAGGAGCGCGTGAATCACTTCATCAAGCTCGCCTCTCTTGTGCTTCCTTTGTTCGAAGAGCCGCCGAGGTGGACGCGCGCCGCCCCGCGCCGCAGGAACACATCCTCGGTGAGGCAGCAGTATCATGACTGGCACAACCATCCCACCCTCGGCCACCAGTGCAGGAGACGCCTTAAGTTGGGAGGGGATGGCCGGTCGCAGTTGGAGCTGAACGGACGCATCGGCGTCCCAGTCGGCATAAGAAGGCTTCTCAGGGACCCCATGGGACACATCGTCGTCACGGCTGGGATGCGGTGCGACCAACTGGCAGCCTCGGCGATTGTGAAAGTGAATGCCCCTGAGAAGCGTTGCTGGATTTGTATGCGTTGTGGAGCCTGGTCCCAGGGCCGTGCCGTCAAGCTGGCGAAACCCTGCATAAGGCCAGATGAGAAGCCCACTAAGAAAGGTCAGGAGGTTTTAAGGCGTTATTACCAGGGTAAGCCGCCGAACCGTCGAGTACGCGTGCTCTTGGGACGTAGCTTTGGCCTCCCCTCGCTCGCCTCCTCGGTCGAGTCGGCCCCCTCGGTGAGCATGTCTGACTTTACGGTGGTGCCAGTTGTTTTCTCGGCCTCCAGGGAAGTGCCCACTTACGAGCAAAGAATGGCGGCCCTGTTGGGCCGAATACGTGCGAAGGAAGCCAGACAAGCTGGCTAGTCACTCTGATTTGATCAGACCTTAGTGCTGCGCACTCCCCCTTTCGAGGGCATTCCATTCCATTCCTCCTTATCCTCCTCCTCGTCCTCCCCCTCCTCCTTTTCCTCCTCCTCCTCCTCCTCCTCCTCCTCCTCCTCCTCCTCTGCCTCACCTCATCATCGTTCTATCCCTGCACGCTCTCCAG